CCAACAGATCTGGGTTCACAAGAATCCACATTTAACTAATATATTTAACTTGTAAAAATATAGCTAACGTTTTTAAAGAAAACAACTCAAATCCTGTCGCTGTTGCTCAGAATAGACAAAATAAACAAAAATCAGTCGACCTCACCTCCTCCACAAAGACAAAAAATAGAAATTTGGAAACTGTTCGTCTGAGGTAAAGTTACAAAATCTTTTTTATGTTTTGGACCTTCAAAGGTAGATATCTCAAAAATGATTTGTTAGTTTCAGCAAATGGTTAATTTATTGTTTAGTAGTTTGTTTGCTTTTTATCACATTTTGTCAACAGCATACGCTTGCCTAATGACTTTGACCCATGTGGCAAAAATGTATACACCAGTTTACTGTTGAGATTTGAGGCAGAGCAACAAACAGCCAGAGCTACAATGGAATGGTTCATCAAAGCCTCTTCAGGTTTTAAAATGATGCAACAGAAGCCCTGACCTAATTCACATTGGGGATCTGTGGCATAAACTGGAAATCACTGCACTTTTGTGAAAGTTTAATCTCTACAAACAGCTGCTTGTTAGAGCCACACCTCAAAAAACTTGCAGTTGTCTTATTAAAAATAAAAAAAAAAGAATTTCATTTACCTTCCACCTCCACCTGAACAGTTTTACCTCTACAAAATATAAAACTGCTCAAGGAATATGATTACTTTTACAATACACTGCATCTAAATGCACACTGTGTGGAACTTTGTTAATCTCTCACCGAGCTCTCATTGGGATGCAGTTTGCCAACATCTGGTTCAACCCAGATAAGATTCCGATCTCTCTCTGAAATGACCCACTGAAACCTGTCATGGAGAACAATCACAGAAGGCCAGCTGTAAAAATGGTGTTGAGGTAATTTCAAAGTAAAAATACAACATAGAAAAATGTCTGAGAACCAAGGGCAGAATGACAATCGGAAGATAACAAATCAGTCAACTAACTTGATGGGCACGCTGCTTAAATTCTTGATGGAATGGGTGTGCTCAGATTTTGAGCCGACAGCTGTAGCGCTGAAATGTAAACTGTTGCTATTTTCAAAAGACACACATGGCTTTTTTAAGGAGCTCACAACTGTCAGTTCCTAAGAAAGACAAAGATTTAACAGACCAATGTAATTGAGTTTTACCACATCATATGTTCCTGTGTCATGTGGTACCTTCGTGAATTGAGCTGCATTAAGCTGCAATGGTAAGTTAAACCCGTCTGTGGGACTATTCAGAGTGGGGACTGCTCCAATGGTAAGGATTTGGTGTTGTCCTGGCTGGATGAAACCACAGCCTGGTGACATATGCACAGACCTTGGCAAGTCACTGTTTGTTCTGTGTTTCAGGCAGAAGGTGAGAGGCTGATCGCTGTTGTTCTGCAGTAGCACGGTCCGATAGGAAATAACACTCAGAGGTGGAAACACCTAAAATGAACAAGGTGATAATAAATCAGTAAATGAATCTTTTACTGAGATGTATTAGAAACAATTTTCCGGGAAAAATAAAACACATTTCAACTGATACTCCTCGTTTTAGTTCGTTTTTCTAAACACTTCCAATTAAAATTGAGGACCTAAACCATAAAGGATATAAATTCTGTGTGGACAATCTGATGATGTCATATAAAAAAATACCATGTTACCAAACCAATATATTTTGTTCAGCACATTATCCTCATTTTGTTGTTGATTTATACATCTTAAAGAGGGTCACTAAGTAAAATTGACTTTTTGTCAGTCCAACACCACTAAGACCCATAAGAAGTAAACGGACGGACATTGTGGTGATGGCTTGCTAAAGCCGGGGTGTAGGAAAGAGCAGGAGCTTTTTAAACAGACAGTGGCCAATTTCAAGGCTATAATTGCAAAGTTAAAGTTCTTTTAAGTTATGTTTAATATATACAGTATTTTTAGAAAAACTGAAGTTTACATAGTTACTTTATCATGCTACAAAATAGCTCAAGGTGTCTAGAAAATACATAATACCATCCCATGTGTTTTTGTCATGGGATCTAGCAACAGCTGTAAAATGTGAGTTAAATAATTCTTTCATCTTACCACTTGCTGGGGCTTCAAAATATAGGATGGGGTGAAATGTTCTTTCCCTGGCTGAAAAGAGTGGCTAATGACTCTGACAGTCACACAACAAGGCAGACATGGAAGGACTTGTTCTGAAGAAGGATCCTCCTTTGGCATCTAGAGAGGCATAGTTAAAAATCAGGACATTGTTTGGTTTTTACAACAAGAAAAAACTACAAATCACAATTTGAAACATTTTGAATGAAAGAAAGTAGAACTGTATGGCAGAATATATTACTTTGAGTTATGTAGTATTACCTTACAGTATGCAAAGCACTCTAGCTCTCCTCCATGCAGGGCATTGATCTGTCTTGGTTCATATGTCACAAGCGCAGTGGTAGATTTCAGTGGGGCCAACTCAAATGATGAAGGAGTAACACAGAAAGGGGAATCTTGGATAACGGTCCACATCAGGCTTGAACAGAATCATTGCAAGTGTTTATATGTATATTTCCACAGGAAAAACATGATATTTTACTTTCATTGTGGCAACAAAACTTCCCTGACACCTTTAAATACCTGAGTTTTTCTTTGGTGTGATTTTTAAAGGTAACACACTGTGAGACAGCAGATGATGTAGCGATAAAGGATGTTGCTTTGTGATTAAACAGCAGTTCACTTGGTTCAGTAGATACAAATGGAAATGATGGCGAGAAGAGAGAATCCACGTGTTCTTCCCTGATTTCATTTGATTTCTCCATAGGTGCTGGAGGAATGACAGTAGCACTATTTCCTTCCTGATTAATGACAAATGTTAAAGAGTTAAAACAAACACTATGTCATTTTTATGAATTCTTACCTCTATATGTAACTAAGCTAAACTGGAAAATCTGTTTTTTTTTTCCTGTTTGTTTTTATTTTTTACCTCTTCTGTGGGTAAAGGCGCCCCCAGCTGTGTATCTGATGAGTTACTCATACAGCACAACTTATACTTGTACTCAACCAAGTGCTCAAGTGTTAATGCGACTGGCTTCTGAAAATCTGGGTGGCATGTACCAATCAAGTCCAGAAACAGAGGCTCCTGAAAGTATCAGTATCAGAAAAAAATATTCAGGAGGATCATCTGTTTGAATTTTGTAAGTACATCTGCACTTGCCCATTTTACCCTGAGGAGTATGAGACATGCCACTCTTCTGTGGTGTGGCATAGGTTGTGTGGGTTTGTAGGAGACATTGACTTTGATTTGGCCATATGGAAGCACAGTGCCACTTGCTGGTGAAACTCTAAAAACACTGTTTGCACTGTCTATGTCCCATTGGTAGGTAGCCTGAACAGGGGAAGTGTTCAGCAGTTCCACTGTTTGTACTGCCAATCTTTTTTCTTCAACACACCCAAAGTCGACCACAGAGGAGGACAAACAAAGTTCGGGACCTGAAAGCAAGAATGTTCTTTCAGAAATTAGAATATGTTTATTTTGTTTCCCCGATCCTTTTATTAAAAAAAAAAAAAGTAATGTTTTTATTTTAGTGAATGTCTCTTACCCAGACACTTTCCTATGAGTTTGACATGACTTTTGCTGAGTGACCCTCTATAATTCAGAGACAAGTACTCCACAGAGACTATGTCGACCTCAGTTGGAGAATAAGTAACCAAAACCTGGATGGAACCACCAGGCACTATTTTCTCACTGGTGACATCCCAACTGAAGTGTGATCCAAATATGGCTACCGCTCCAGGCAGTTGTGATAGAGAAAACCACACACTAACCTAACAGAAAGGAACAACAGGAAAAATGTGACAAAACCAAGAGTCTGATTTTTAGGTTTAGCATGAACACATGGTTACTACTTACAGGAGAAGGATTGAAGATTTCAAAATGTTTACTCAAACTGTGACCAACAGCCACAGACCCAAAGTCCAACTCAATATCACCGTGGATGATTTCCTCTTCTTCATTGGGAATTCTTAATTGAAGAAATGGATATTTGGCTGGAAAAAAAAATAGATTTAATTTTGCAAATAATGGTAGTTGTTGAAATACTTAGTAAACATGTAATTGTAGTTAATATAATGTACAGTTCTGGTCAGAAGTTTTGTATACGGCCTCATACACGTACATCTCAAAAAAATTTGAATATCATGAATTTATTTTTTTATCACTTGTTTTATGACTTGAAACTCATTAGTTATCTAAATTCATTATATATAGAGTTAAATATTTCAAGCTTTTGCTGTAGCTTTGATAATTATAGCTTAAAGATAATAAAAGCTTACAATTCAGAGTATCAAAAAATATGAGTACTGAGAAAAAGTTAAAATATTTGTAACTCATGGGGTCGCACCCTAATCCGCTGACTAACTGAAAACACCTGCAAAGATTTCCTGAGCCGCTAAAAGGTCTCTCACTATGGGTCAGTAGGATACACAGCTGACTGGAAAGATGTCCAGAATACAGTGAAACCACAAAAAGTCATTGATGAAGAAGAAAAAAATCCACTAAAGACACAGCAGATCATATTTGTCCTTCTACATCCCAATGCAAGTTTAGTCTCAGCAGTACCTATCCCTTGTAGAAGCACAGCGCAGCAGCTATCAGCTTTGCTGCCATCTTCTCCATATGTGCAGTGCACCTGCTGCTGGTACACCTGCGCCTCTAGCGGCTGAAAGTCCACCTCGATGACACACTGCTGACCGGGTTTTAGCCGGCCTTGTTCTGGACTGAGTTGGAAGGGAGCTGCACTATCCCATTTAAATGACAAATGAACCTTACTGGAGGAGGAAAATAAAGAAAACACAAGACAATTGAAGAGACAACAATGGCTCAAGAGAGACAGATGAAAATAGAACATACTTGACAAGAGTTCCTTGAAGATTATGAAAGAAAATCACACTTTTTATATATGCAGGGAAATGAAAATAAAAACTAAGAACAATCAAAGGTACCTGATATTTTTTAGTGGGAAACTGGTTAGTGTGTAGTGCTCAACAGCACATAGGGGGAGCATCACAGATTCGGGCACCTTCAGAATATGACTTGGAAGTACAGCATGCAGGCATACTTTAAAGCTTCCTTCAATAGCTTGAAACTGAATGCAGTCGTTATATCCACACTGCCCCATGCAATCAGACAGAAACAGAAACAAAATAAGTAACATAAAACAAAATAGTTAACAAAAGCTACACAGTTGGCCATTGACTACTTTTCTGTTTCTAATAAAGTTCAGGTGATCTTTCATTTAATTGCAGAATAGCCTACCTTTTGGAGAGGTTTAAAAGTGATGGGTATGGAGACTGAAGTCCCTGGGCTGAGAAGAACTACTTTAGGATTCAAAATTGAGAAAAACTTGGACCCTGGAGCACTGTGTTGAGAGAAGGGGAGGCTTTGTTGTCTTCTTTATCTGTGGCTTTGAGCTGTGTTTATGAGTTTGTATTACCTAATGTGCAGCTTCTGCAGCTTATTACGGATGTTCCTTATCACCAGTGTCTTGGTGTACTCTCTTCCAATGACCCAGTCCTTCCATGTCAGATCTAATGTGGTTTCTAGGCCTAAGAAGATGTTTCTTTGGAGAAGGGGTTCTATTTGATATTCTTTTACATCAGGGAGCTGGGATTCCTGCAGAGGAAAGAAGCATAGAATGGAAATTTGGAAAACTTTAAGGATTAATGACTAAAATAAAGGAAAAATCAGCTGCATTTAATACAGTTTACAGTGCACTTTGGAATCAATAAATTATTTTTGAACTGAACTGAATTTTGGAAAAGAAATATAAGTTAATCACATCCGAATGTAATTAAAGTAAAAAGGTGGTTCTGCAAAAATACTTACGTGGGGATGATTACAAATGCACACCACAAGTGTATCTTTTTATATATTACAAACAAACTTTTTAAACCCTGTATATGCTAAGGTTTACATACATTACACCAGTCCCCTTTTGAACTTCCGTAATCGGCATTCATTTTCTCAGTTTCAGTGAAGATATGCCTCTGTGAGTCTGAGCGTGTGTTTTGAACTTTACTTTGACGTCAGTCTCTCTGCCGGAGCGCTTCCATCGACAAAAAACAGACGCCAAACAGGCTGGACAGCGGGATTCAGCTAACATGGCTGTGGGTAGAGAGCAGCGCATTCATAATGGAAGGCATGGATATATCATTTTTGCGGGTATTACATAACGGTACAGTAACGTAAAACTCAACCACAAAAACACTCAAAAACACTCGAACATGGAGGGAACTCCACACAGCTGTTACAAAACCTTGCGTACTGTAACAATAACACGCCAGTCTTACCTTATATGGCTCTAACAACTAGCTAAGAGTAGAATTTCAGATAAAAATCCTCAGAGAAAGCGGTTAAGTTCCTTAGTTACGACGTTTCCATGACATTTCCATGACAACGAGTAAACGTTAGATTTGCGCAAGAATTACGGAATCCTGTGAGGATCATGTTGCTGCAGTGAACTTATTTCAACTTTGTAGCGCTATTAAATAGATGATTATAATCTACGTCTGAAATTTAAAGGATTAACTTACTATTATTATATCAAATGGAATGCATGTTAAATATGCATATTAAACTAAAAATTGAATTATGATATTTAAAAATTTGCTGAAAAAATATTGGCAGTCTATCTATAAAACGTATAAAACGTATTAGTGGGTATTATGACAATTATGATCAGCTTGTATCAAATTCATGTATTAAACCTCTCAGACATCTACAATTTTTTATATTGAACCCAAAGCGAGAAGACGTCAGACATGAATCTCCTCTAACGTCCGTTTTTAATATAGAAATTATATGCACACGGATGTCAGATAATATTTGAATCTACAAATTTATGATAATTTCACAAATATTAACTTTATGGAGAGTGTACTTTTATATATTGTCACTCGTAATACTATAAATTTCCAACAATGTATTTAATCTTCAGTGTTCAGTCATGAATTCACCTTATCATAAAACACTCAATGTATTGCACTTTTGTAAAAAAAAATAAATAAAAAAATAGATTGTACGTTAAAATAAAAAAAATCAGTTTAAAACAATACCAGGAGAATTCTATGTTAACTCGTTTTAAAACACTGTTCACTGGAAAGTATTTTGAGACTGTGACTTTAATTAAATTAACAAGCAATTTAACATGACAAAAACAGTCCTGTACAACATTTCTCACAAAAGTGTGAAGTAAAACACCAAGGGTTAACAGTTAAAAAGTGTTTACCACATGATTTTTTTTAATTCCAAAAGATAAAATGTTAAGTACTTTAAAATACAACATACTTTGTAGTAGACCAAGAAAATTGAATATTTAGGGACATGGTTCATGTGTTTCCATCTACAAATCTGTTTTGACTTTTTGCCCAAAAGTGTAACCAAGAATAAAATAAGTATATCTTGTTTAAGTGCATACAAAATAACAGTTTGTTTATTGTGTGTAATCTGCTTTATTGCCTCTGTAGAAGGTCACTTCTTACAAACATAAACATAAAATCTTGTATGCTTGTCTTTAAATTGTAAGGGAAAAATGAACTTTAAATCAATGTGTAAAGGCTAAAGAGCACAACAATTTACTGACACATTTTTCTGCTGGAAACATGGAACTGTAGTTTGGCCTAAAACATCTTTTCCTCCAGGAGCTCTGCTGTAGTTACAAAACGCATAATAAATATTAAACCAAATAAACATATAGTAAGTACACATCCACAAATTCATCCTATGAAGAACTTCCACTTCTTTCTCTTGGAAGACCTTCCTCAATCTCTTCCTCAGAGTAAGAAGTGTAGATCCCTGGCCCACCACCTCCTCTGTATCTTGTGAAGGTGACAGAGCTCAAAGATGCTTTGCTCAGCTGTTTCATTTCTTCTATTCCAAACTCATCCTCCACCTCTCTCTGCCTTTCATCTTGCAGGCTTGAGCTGAGGGAGATGTGATGATGTTTGAGACTCTGTATGTCCATTGTATTGTCAGCTGTTGCAATAACTTGATCCCTCGCTTTGCGACTTCTCTTCCACTTCATGCGTCTGTTCTGGAACCAGATCTTCACCTAAAACACACAAGATGATTGAAGCTTGACATCACCTTCTTTTCAGTTTGAAATATATTTTTTTTTTTGGTAAATTGTCCTGAAATACATATCACTGTTTTACTTCACTTAATAGAAACAGGACAAAAACTATAAAAATACTGAAGTGTGGTATATAATGCCAAACATAACACTACATTATCACAGTATAGCTTACAAATAACTTATCAAATTACAATAATGCACAATATTTGTATCCACTATGCTATATATTGCAGTCATAATCAGTAAATTAGAATACATGTCTAAATGAGTCTTGTTTGTCAGAAAAATGGTACCTTTTGAAATAACAACCACTAAGCAGGTTTTAAGCCCAAATTTCTTTCTTTTTTTTTTCTTTTTTTAATAGTTTTTTTCTTATTGGTCTGATATAATAATCTAATTTTTAAATATGTTTTAAATTGCTGTAAGTGAAGAATCATCATCATTAACAGAAATAAAAGCTTCCAGACATCCTTCTGTGTGTAGTAATTTAATGTGTTTCACTTAATGATAAAGTTCCTAAAATATGTGGGCTTTTCAATAATGTTCTGATTTATTGACTGTGTCGGTACTGTGCCATACATTCAGTCCAGCTGTAATACATTATAGATGACATGTGCCACAATTTGAAAACAAAACAGCAAAATAGAATATTTTTTAAAAAATGCATTAAAATATAAATAGAAAAATATAATTATATCAAACAAGACCTGCCTGATTGGAAGCATTTTAAAGACATTCATCTTATAACACCTCAGAACATGTACCCTAATGACATTAAATAACATTTTACAAAGCAGAAATATTTCCTGTGTTTCTGACTGAAATGCATTTCCCACTTTCTAACCTGAGTCTCCGTCAGCATGAGTGAGGTGGCCACCTCGAAACGTTTGGGCCTGGACAGGTACTTGTTGAGCTTGAACTGATTTTCCAGTTCCAGCAGCTGCTGACTGGTGAAAGCGGTCCTGGGCCTTCGACACTTCCCCAGTAAGGCTCCCTGACCTGGTGCTAGGACAGAAACATAAACATCGTATTTATTATTAGTGATAAAAAAATAAACTGACGGCTCGCACTAAAGGTGTCAATCTGCCTGTAGGTAATAATGTCCCCTTGTTCCTAACATTTATTCCAATGAGTGATTGATTTTGGAGGTGGTAATAAACTCTACAGAGGTCCATCACATTAATGAAAACCCTGCATGAATAAACAGCTGATTAATGGAAGATCCTTTGCAGGTTTTACCTTGTTGGCAAAGAAAAAAAAAAAAAAAAAAAAAAAAACAAAACAAAAAAACAACATTATTGTGCCAAACCTATTTTTCTGTCAATCACAGCTGCACATCCAGAATATCAAGAAATCAAAACATAAAAAAAACAACTAAGTGGTTACTTGAAAAAAGCACACTACTAGTTTTTAAATGTAGCTATACTTTCTTCATCCCATAATTTCACTCTAATAAAAAAATGCTTCTTTTTTTACAGTAAATTTTCAAATGCTTCTCTTCAGAGGAAAAAAGTCTGGGAGATATTTGTTAACATGTTAATTTTAAAAGATGTATTATTATTATTATTATTATTATTATTGCTTAAAGCGTTTAGGTTAATTATAAAACTTTTAGAAAACAGACTGATATTTCGCAATGAACCCACCTACATACTCTCCAAATCTTGGCATCACAATTCCTCCCCTGACCCAAGGATCCACTGGAAGCATCGTGGCCATGCCGCCCCCCTTCGTGTGCTCCGGATGAGGCTGAACCAGCTGCGCAAAGGCTGGATACATCAAGGCAGGGTGCTGGCCTCCGAGGCCCGCCAGCGGATACATGGACGCCGGATGCATTCCAATAAGACCGACGTGTTGCAGAGAGGTGAATCCAGACGGAGACAGGTTGAGGAGATGCGGCTTGGACACAGTAGACAGCTGGGCTGGAGATGAGCTTGGATACTTTGGATGAGAAGAGGGCGAATCTGAGCCGCGCGTCGACGCTGGACTAATATCAGGGCTCCTGTTGTGAAACAGTCTCGGGGACACGCTGTCCCTGCCCGTTCCCCTGTCTGAATCTTGCGCCAGCAGCGCGTCAATGCGAAAGTTTTTGGACTTCTCCATGGCGATAGTCGTCCTCCTCCAAGACGCAGGCGGTACTTAGGTTTGAAAAAAAAGTAGAACGCTTCTTTTCTAATTGAGAAAATTAAATGTCACTTGTTGGTGCCAGTTGCTGCCTTTCCTTCTTGTGGAAGAATTGTCCCCTCTCTGACCAAGTCCACTTTGATCATATGCGTAAAAACCCCTTTCGCCCACCCCAGCAGTGAAAGGAAAAATTACTGGCACACAATTGTGCCATAAAATCTCCTCCCCCTGTGATTGGCCAGGGCACTTGCAGCACAGGGTCAGGACACTTACACTCTCTTGGATTATTGAGCACCTCTTTCAGCACACCCTTGAACTGTTCAGTTTGGCTAAAAGGAAGGAGCACATCACCCTTATCCTCAATATAGATTGTCAAGATCTACATTTTACATGTCTTTTCCAAATTAAAAGGTCACCACTTGTTTATATGGTCCCCATCTGTTCTGCTCTCATTCTGTCACTTTCTTACGTTCTCATTTAGCTTATCGCTGTGTTATCCATCACCTCATATGATCCCAGCTTTATGTGACGTTAATGTGTGGTTTTCTCACAAAACCTTTTAAAGCCATATATTACATTGCACCTGCATCTTTGGACACCTGCAAACAGTCTTGAAAACTATATTGGTGTAATTGCTGCAATCTCTGTGACAAAATTAATAATTTTACAGCTAATTCCTCATTAAACTTTATTACCTATTAAGGTTGACAGAAACAGAGCCACTCTTATCAACACCCACAGCAATGATTACCAGTCATCACCACACCACCGAGCACATAAAAAGGCAGTAAACTGATAGAAAGCAAACTTATTTTCTCCCCTTTGCAGAGGGGAGCCAAATATAAAGTGTGAACAGGTGACGCAAAACCAGTGTGCAGCGGATGTTTGGTGTTTATTCTCTCAGCCTATGCTACACTCGGAGAAAAACATAAATCAAGGTGCAGCTTCCCGTCAACCCGAACTACATCTGTTCTGTAAAAAAAAAAAAAAAAAACCAATAAGGGCTTCAGACTGAGTAATTAGATTTGTATTAAAATGTCCAAACTGTTTAGATGTGCGCTTGTGCCACAGTCATCAGTGGTGATTTCCTGCTAGGTATTACAGGGCTGATAAGAGGCCTGTCATATACCATGGGAAAACAAACTCTCTCATGTCAAAGACAAACACACCAACACCTGCTGGACTCAACAACGAACAAAGCAGCCACAGAGTTTAAAAGTGTGTATATGTGTGTACCGGCATGCAGATGCTAAAAAATATTCAGCTACAACCAACGTTATAATCAGACAATACATTTTTTTTTAACTGACATCATGCAGATTAGTTCAGATTAATGACAAGTGGGGATTTACCTAAATAGACTGACTTGAAAAGCATCCATATGCCATATCCAAAGAGCTGTTTGCATCTTGATGCATGCATGTGTGTTTTTCTTCTCTCCTCAAAGATCTGCCACTTGTACAGCATTCTGTTTGTAGTTGGAACTTGGAAATTCTGACTCCCGGAGAAGTCAAAAATGGAAAAATCAACAAGAACACGAGAGTCTGGAAATTTTTCAAGATCTGATACGGCAGCTCTTCGCATCTGTGGAGAAAACGTGTTATTTACAAGGCAAGGTTGTAGGAGTTCATCTAAAATCACTGTTACATGCAGCACCTGCAAAATAAAATAAAAAGCAGTGTTTGCATGTGGAAAGAACATCTTAAAATTATGCTTGGAAGAGGTACAGTACATGGGACTGTGCCTATTTACCTCCCACATGAGGAAGCCAGAATAGCCTGAGAGAGACCAGGGGACAACATACAAACCAAATGACCCCAGGCTGGATGTTGAATATAAAAGCTCAGATATCACATAAATTTAGATTCTGTGGATTAAAAGAGACGTGAACTTTTTTCACCAACATACTGAGCTGAGAGTGTGATTTATGATGATTAAACTTTTATGTTTTCACCTTTAACAAAAAAGGGCTTTTTCATTCAACTCTTACACATAAAATGAGCATCTTTTCACAAACAGATTCCAATCATAAATTGCTACTCTGAAATAAGTAGATGGGACAAAAATGGATGGTTTTCAAGGATACAGCTGAAGAATGAGGGTAAATAGACACTAAACAAGTATTTAATTATACTTCCTAAAAAAGAATTAGGGTATTAAAATAAATGGGTAAAATCTAATAATATGATCATGTGACAAACTCTAAAGCTGTATTACAGTTTTACTAGGACAATTCAAAAGCTGAAAATATAATTCAAAGCTTGAAGCTTTGAATTATATTTTCAGCTTTTATACTGCAACACAAAGTTCAAATAAAAATTAAACTGTCCTTTGCTTGGCAACAAACCTTTTGTCATTTTTTTGTGCTTCAAGTGGGGTTCAGTATCCACTAATTTGATCAGTTTAAAACGATAGTAAGTCACAAAGCTGGGAAGTCACTCGGCCCTTCTCCATTCATGTTTCCTCTTTTCAAACACAAATGAAAGCAAGTTTAACACAGTGGGCCATTTTCTTGAACCTTAAGCGGGAAAAGATCATCTTGTTGGTGGAAGGGAGAGCTGCAGAAATAAATCACTGACTTTAAACCAACAGTGTATTTTGACATCCTATTAATGATATTGGCAAACACATTTGAAGAAAAAAATAAAAATAAAAATAAAACAAAAGGGGAGATTTTTAAGATATGCGAATGCAAAGTAGTGCAATCTGTGAAGAGAAAATCAAATTCAGCATAATTTTTGCACAACTTCGACATACAAAACAAAAATGTTATGAACATATTCATTTGTGCAAAGAAAAACATAGACAATATAAAAAAACACCTTAAGCACCCCAGTTTTAAAAAGTAAAATAGAACCAAGTATCCCAGGAGATATTAGGTCAAGTGGAAAATCTTCTAAAATTCCCAACATATCCAGCACAAAAAAGCCTGTTGTTCTCCTGGTGCATGTGCCCCACTGTGGTATATTGTCCAATATCTGCTTTTTGTTTTCCATTGTTTCTATTGTCATACCCCTGTCTTGTTCTGATTGGTCTAATGGACCGCGGGGGAATAGAAAACTTCCTTTTTGAGCCGGGGTGGTCGTCTAGGGTTTCAAGGTTCTGTTTTGGTTTAAAACGGGTTGATTAATGGCAGCCATCACAACTGAGACTTGGGGATAATGAGGAGGACAAGAGGGAGGAACAGAGGAGGAGACTGGGAAAAGGAGGAGGGCTAAGGGGGGGAGGAGAGGTGAGATTGGAGGAGTATTACTCAGCACTGTAAAAGGCTGGGAGGACAGCACAGTTAGATAAGGATTCAGGGCAGAAGCGACAGGAGGAGAGAAGATGCACTAATTAGTTCTGAACAGGAGTTGGTGAATGAGAGGAGGAGACAGACACACGTAGAGCTGCTTAACACACAAAGACACGAGGTGCGACAGGGCAGCGGAGGAGTGGCTGCAGGGAGTAGTTAAACATCTGTTGCTCTGTGGAAATCCAAGGCTGCTCTGAAGGCTCACGCTTCCAAAACACTCATTACCCAAATGGCTTCCTTTAAACAAACACATAAAGGCTTTGACAAACAGCAGGAGATCCTTCAAGAAAACAGAATTTGTCTGGATTTTATAAATGATATTTTACAAAAAAAAAAAAAAAAAACACAGTCATTCATAATAGACCAAAGACATCTAAGCATACCATGGCTCTTCCTTTTATTTTAAATTGACATAATGCCTCCTTGCAGTTTGGAATCGTCGACAGATTGACTGTTCTGTTGTCTTCTTTAGTTGTAGGATAGAGTCAAACACTTTTAGTGGTATTGATGCATTTATAAACTTGGAAACATTCTTTAAACTCTTACATTGGTCACAATATAAAACAATAAAGCAGAGCTGCTTTTTGTGTGCATGTTGTAGATGAAACCTTTATTTGTGGCATATGTATGGTCCAACGTGAAACAATTTTGAACAAATCTGTGCAGTACTACAGTTTTTGTTGGGCCGTAATTATGATCCAAGCCTGGGTGAGGTCGTCAAAGAGCTGTACTCCAATTATCTTAAAGCTTTGCACTCTTTCTACTGAATGGTTATTGATGCTTATTATCAATAGTGATCATCTTCTGCTTTTGTTGGATTGAGGAACAGTTTGTCTTTAGGTCAGTCATCTAGCTTTTTCACTTCCTGCCTACACATTGACTTGTCATCCCAATGAATGAGCCCCACTGCTGCACATTAAAGGCTTAGGCTTTCCTTCTGTGTGCAGCCACAGTCGTGTATTAATTATGCAAATAATAGCAGACTAAGCATAAAATCATGAAATGGCCCAGTGGTCAGTGGGATGGAGTGCTCAAATAGCTTCATATTAGATAATCTCTGTAGACCAAAAAAATAGATTTATGGATGTGGTGAAACTGGACATGACGTTAGCTGGTTTGCGGGTACAGAGGATGTACTCGCAGAGGATTGGACTAAATGAAGACAGATGGTTTGCTGTGGTGGGAAAAGACAAAAAAAGGAGAGGTAAAAAACAATAATAATTTGCAATTAATAGAAATGTAAAAGGTCAGTGTTGTACTAAATCAGGTCAAATAACTGTAAGAGTTTTAGATTAAACATCAATTCACCAAACAAGGGAATGTATTTTGGTATTTAAGTCTCCCTGTAGAGTTTTAAATTATATTCAGAATCCCCATAGCATGAGTAATATGGTGGTGTAGAGACATTTAGAAATGTTTAACAGCTGGTTACCCACAAATTTCACTAAATGATTAAAAGTTCAGATGATAAAGTTTCCAGTTCCAGATGATAAAGTTGGTTCCATTGTAGTTACCTATTTTATTTAATGTGTCATTTAGTTTACATTTGTATTCTGTTTAGCACATTTTATGCTATTTTATCTAAGATTTCAATGACTTGTCCTCTGAAGCAAAACATCTGAGTTAGGTAGCAGTGCATAATGGGAAAACATCACACTGAATTCACGTGTCTCTGTTATTTTAAAAAATCTCAACTCGCAACAGGAGATAATTATTGTTCCTATTTAAGAAGCCTAAACTAAATACCACGACTTCAATTCAAAGTCACAAAAGCAAATCACACAAACAAGAGAAAAATCAAAGCAGTTTAGCTAAAGCCGTGTAGGGCAACAACAAAGTATAATCAATCACGTCTAGTCATCATTAAGTTATAGAAACTGCAAACTTTTAGAAGAACTGAAAATTGCCATAGAATGTGAGATTAAAATGCCTTATAGTGTAAGGAAAATCTTCAACAAATATCTGAAACCAGTTTTATATGGTTTGCTTCTTTTGCTCCTCCTTTCTTTTCATCACATGCAAGGTTTATGACTGATGTTCCATCTTTTCAGCGTGGAGACAGTTCAATTAGCCTTGTGGTTTGTGGACCCTCCCACCAATCCATGTTTGTGTTCTTTAATCAGCTCGGCTCCACGCCTGTGTGTCCACACGCATTCGTGTCTGCGTGCCCATGCGTGTGTGAAAGCTCCACGATTTGGTGATAAAGAGAACCACATAATTCTTCAACATCGTCTTGCCTGACACAATCCCATCAGCTCACCTTTATGCTTTTTTTCCCCAATGTTGCTCAGCTGAAGCGAATTCAGTGATGAAATGAACGCCGACTGTTCAGGGAAAAAAATAAATTAAACTACAGCAGGGAAAGGCTTGTAAATTCCAAAAATGAATTGCAGTGTTTTGATATTATTGCTAAGCTGTCTTCTGTCTGTTACGGTGTTGCTATTCTATGCATGATGATATATGTTGAAAAGCAATTTGGATAAAAGTAGTTTATGCCGGTCACTCATCCATTCTTTCTGCGGTGGAGACATTCATTTTACAGTTCTGCTTTTTCGTTGGGGTTGGTGTTACACACACGTATTGTTACTTAAAGGGAGAAAAATGTTAAACAAGGTGTCCAGACTGGGGGGGGATTACAATGCAAAGCAATCTTGTGCCTACTAAGTAAGCAGAATCCACATGTGGAATTTAATATAAGTATAAATCAAACTGTTGTCTGAAGATCTCAACGGTTTGTTAGAATCCATTAGTGATCAAATAGCATCACGAAGACCAGGAAAGACAGCAGAAAAAATAACAATGAAGTTGTGGAGAAGTTTAAACCAGAGTAATGTTTTAAATAATATCCTGAGCCGTGGGGATCCGACAGAGCAGTGTTCAAGCAATCATCTGAAAGTAAAAGGAGCATAAAAGGACCAGGACCAAACTATCCACTAAAATGGACAGGCCAAACACAGAGAGTTTTATTCAGAAAGACAGCCAAATAATTTATAACTCTGAAAGAGGGAGTGTTGTTCTACACGTCATAAAGGAGAATATTTCAACAGGACAATTATTGGCTGTGCACTCCACAAATATTATCTTGATGAAAGAGGGGTTTTAAAAAAAAAAAGGCTTTCTGCCACCAAGGATACACAGGAAATATGTGAAAGAGTGTACTCTAAAGGCAAAAACTAAAGTTTTTGGTTTGCCAGTGCAAAGTGTTGTGTGTGCTGAGAAACTAACATTTGGTCATCGAACAAAATGTATAATTTCCACAGTGAAACATGGTGGCGGCAGCATTGTGAAGCTTGTTAAGGGGGAATTGGATGGATCTGACCAGAGGGAAATCCTGGAACAAAACCAGTTAGAACGGAAACTCAAACTGCTTGTTGTAAGTGATGCAAATGTTCACATATTTGCATAATCCTATTTGTGTCCCTAATTTCCCCTTTCCCTGATATCTTTTTCCTTATTTTTACATTAAAACCTCTGTCCTGCATCTTTCTGTGTACCAACGACAGACAAATACGTTTATGTTCGTAGCCCTCACCAAAGCAACTAAGTCTTAAAAGGTCTGATTGATTTCTTTAGTTTTTTTTATTTATTTATGTATTTATTTTTATTTTGCTTTTATATAACAGACACCAGAACAACAAAGCCTTTAAATGTAACCACTTTCACTGGAGAATCAGACAATATCAGACTGGCAGACTTGTGCTAACTTGGTGAAATATAATAATGAAATTATGACGTTTAGACGTGAGAGAAAGCTGTTGCTGAGACGACTGGCAGGTTGAAGCCATTTCTGGTTAAACAAGCTCTTCAGTTGCAGGTGTTACAAGGTGTAGGTGAAACATGATACTGCATGGAGGCACGTATGGCTGGCAGTTCCCAACAGGCACCTGGCCTCTTGCTTGATGTCTGTAAATGAGCAGCTAATGATGTGTGTGGAGCTATTTGCTTATCCTTATCAGCTCCACAGCTGCTTTTGTTCACACGGCCCCTTCGTTCATTGGACTACACATCGACATGCACTTGCTCATTCAATAAGGAAATAGATAGCATTTATTTACCATTTTACTTGGGTTGCATGTGTTAGTGTCCACACCAGGTAAAATAGCCTAGTTAAAGCAGTGTAGTAGTGTAGCTAAAATGAGTTAGCGTGGTTTATCACCTGCATGTATGCTCAAGACATTGTCAAAAATATATTTAAATTTAGTGGACATCTAAAATGTTTGTGTCCTCAGTGGTTAACGCATCCAGGTTGTGTTCATTTAGTCCACATTTAAATGTTTTCTTCTTTTTCTTCATGTTCTTTCTGTTGGACCTTACATTTAAGATCTTCTACAGGGATTCCCCCAAAAGTCTTGGTTTAAGGAACTCTGTTTCAGCAGTTCTTCAGTTTTCTGAAAGTTTGTTCCGCAATAGAGGGGAATAAGAACATGAATGCTGCTTCTCCATGTTTGATTCTGGGGATGCAGAGTAAACTTGAACCAGAGGATCTCAGTGGTCTGGAAGAATGATACAACAACAACAACATCAACAACAGGTATTTTATGTATTTTGGGGCCAAGAGATTCAGTGATTTACTAAACAAAAGGTTATTTTAAAGTCTGTTTAAGGAGCCAGTGTAAGAACTTTGGACTCTGTTTTATTTTCCTAGTTTTAGTGAGAATGTGAGCAGCTGCATTCTGGATCAGCTGCAGCTGACTGACTTCTTAGACAGACCTTTGAAGACATTGTTGCTGCTGAAGTAGCCTGAAGCTTATATAGCTTATATACATAGTTTGGATTCCAGTGAAATGATTTTGAACAAATACAAATAATTTACCTTGTAGAAAATATAAACTAGCATTAGCTCTTTATCTTGTAGACCTTTGTATTGTTTTCATTTTAGCTACTAGTAAATATGGCAGCGTTTCTTGCATTTTCCATAGACTGTGAATAAGTTAGTGGTCAGACGCATCTGCATATTGGGATGCTATATAAAGTGATTAGTTCTTTCTTCATTTATGTTCAGCAATCACAGATGGTGTAGCAGAAGCTTGCTCCATACCCTCGATCTGTATCTCTCCTCCTCTCTCCATTCTTGTCCATTGATGTGATAATGGCTACAAATTGATGAAGCCATTGAGTTTGCTGGTGACACGAGGGCAAGAGGGGGACACAAGCACTCCACCACCCACCAGAACTCATTATTCAGATTTCTCCCTTCCTCTGATCCCTCTTGGTAGTTTTTTTCTGACTCAGCCACAAGCAAAAGATTTATTAGCTATATCTGTCTCAGTCTGAGAATATCTCATGCCTTTTGCTTTTACTTTTGTCCAATTCAATGTGTTGCTTGAAGAGAATACGATTGACAGTAAAATTCTTTACTTGTATGGTATTTAGTATCAAAGATATGGAAAATATGCCTCTAATGCCTTAAGCTTTAATTAAAAAGTAAGACTCTGATGTCAAAGCTACAGGCTTTTCTGAAAATACGCATTACCGTGCTTAGCAAAAATATTATTTTTCTTTGCATTTTTCACAATTTTTCACATAACCACAAACCTTTGTCTCTTTTATTGGGGTTGTATGTAATATACTAACACAAAATGTCATAATTGAGAAAGCTACGTTTCTTTATTTTTCAAAACTCTAAAGTCAGGGATAAAGTTGTAGAGAGTTGTAGAGTTAAGTCAATATGCCAAGCATTAAGCCTCTGACTGGGCAACGTTAAATAATCTTACAGCGATTAAACGGGTGTGTCACAATAGCAAACCTACCGAAACATGACTCAACATCTAAAATGCCAGAACTGATAAGGAGAGTCACAATCAATCAAGAAGCCAAAAGCCCTCTGGAAACTCTTGAGGAACTAGATTCACAGCAGAGACGAGAGAATCTGTTCTCAACAAGTCGTTATTTCCCAGGCTAATCGTTTTAATTTTAGGTCTTAAATTGGGCATTAAATATGGCAAGATTTACAATACTAGATGATAAATATTTAGGGAAGTGTTTCCTCATTATCTCTTCTTCTATGTTTTTTTTTTCCCCCTTTGAAACAGGGGATGGTGGGATTTATTTGTTCCATGATTTGTTGCTCTGCTTGTGGAATTTATGAAGCAAACAAAACAAGTTCCATGTTGGAAATGTCAAAAGGAATTTATCCTCAATAAGTCAGCTTTGCCCTTCAGAAAAATTTCCTCTTAAGACTGGGCTACCATATGTCTGAGCAACTAACATCAAAACATTTGTGCCACATTATCAACCACCAGCTCTTTTGTTATAGGACAGGGTGGTCAAACAAACATTTCAATGGTCGGAGTTAAGTTGCAAAGATGGAATGTTTTCAGCTCATCACTCCTATTTGTGTTTAACTTGCTGACGGTAAAGTTAAATTATTAACTATTAAGATGTTATGTCATTTTTGTAATTTCATGTAGGGGTTATGTCTAAATGAAAAAAAGTCTTCAGAGGGTCATAAAAAGTCAAAGTTAACTTGCTATTTTGCTAGTTGAAGAAGGAAGGTGGTGTTCTGGTCAGATGAGACCAAGAGAAATTGTTTTAGCCTACATGCAAAATGTACAAGAAAATACTATCCACCAACCTGACTGTGGAATCTACAAGTCAGTACATGGTGGTGGCAAAATCATGCTGTGGGAATACTTTTGTTTAGCATGGGAAGTTGGTCAAGTGTTTTCAAGCTACATACAAAGCATTTCTGGATGAAGACTTATCAAAAGCTGCAAAGAACTTCAGACAATAGATGTTGCAGACCTAAACATATAACTAGAGCTAAAATAAATGAGTTTATTGACCCACTTATGCATTAGAACTGTCTAGTTAAAGTCCAGACCTAAATCACCTGGGAATCTGTTGCAGTTAGTGTTGTTCACCAACACTCTCCATCAAATCTGACTGAATTTAAGTTTCTGTAAAAAAAAAAAAAAAAAAGGTGTAGAAAGTCATTCTTACTGAAATTGGAGTAAAATGCCATCTTACAAAGTAATTAAATACTTAAACTATATAATTGAAAATATAAATGGGGAAGCATTATGTTTAAGGGGTTTGGAGTGTTGTTCTAACGGCACGTGCTACTTTAACTACACTTCAGAATAAACGGTGCAAAAAGTTTCAATTTATACCACAACATTGAAGATAAACACCACGTTTCATCTCTGCTGGATAATCAAGCCAACTACACAAGAAGATAAAGAAGAAAAGATGGAGAGACTGAAAATGGATTCCTTCAAACTAAACTTTAATGTTATTGACTCCCAGTAGCAGCATTTTAGGGCTAAACATTCAGAGAAATGCAGATGCTTTAGTGTTATGTTAGGCTAATTAGTGACTGTGCAGAATAAGCTGCAGTCACTAATTGGTATTCCTTTCAGCGTCACTGCAAATGAAAGTTAAAATTTTCAGCCAGCAGCCCAACAGCTTTTGGTGGGTTGTGAATTAAATAGCCCACTAAGAGAGCTGTTATAGGAGGGCGAGACTTTTGAGAAGAATATGTGTCCTTATAGAAACTTTGACAGCTGTATGTTAGATACATTTCAGTTTTGCCGCTATAGATTTTTGTTTTACGACAGATTTACTTCACACGTTGTCTTGCAAAAATACCCCTGAACCTTTCTACATGAGCAACGAGTCTTCATCACCACCGACACTCTGGGGACAGTGTGTCAGGGTCATGTGCAGTTAAGTCTTCCTCCACAAACAGCATTTCATTAATCCATACCAACCACAAGGCATGTTTAACATTTAAGGATTTGAGTTTTGATTTTAAGCCTCATTTTCTTTTGAAAGTCTGTTTAAAACAAAAACAAAAAATTACATTACTTGGCTAACGCAAAAAAAAAAAAAACTCCCCTGAAACTCTGCATCTTGTCAAACAGTTTTATTCAGATTTTCTTCTATTCTTCCCCTTCCCGTTTTCTATTGCACGGCTGATGAGAGTCCAGAAGATGTCACCAGAGACTCAGGAAAGCAACTTCAACTGCTCCACAGCTCTAATGCCAGTCTGGGGAGAAAAGTGTTCACCTTTAGCTGGTTAGTTTTCATATCGCAGAAATCTTTCATTTTATGTTGACATTCTGAAAGACGAAAGAGCATTGAATGTTTAAAAGGTGTTACTTGCCATTTGAGAACCATTCTAAGCACAGCTCCCAACATTTGGATTAGAGTCCTGAGTTACAAAATATACTGCTCAAAAAAATAAAGGGAACATTTCACTTTAATTTTGTGTGTGGCTCCAAATCCAGGCCTCCATTGGTTAATAAATTTGATTTCCATTGATGATTTTTGTGTGATTTTGTTGTCAGCACATTCAACCTTGTACAGAACAAAGTATTCAATGAGAATATTTCATTCATTCAGATCTAGGATGTGTTATTTGAGTGTTCCCTTTATTTTTTTTTTTGAGCAGTGTATATTCACGATCTGCTCTGCAAACTGATTTTATCAAAACGGTGTGATGCAGGTCCGCACTGCAGCATGCAAACGGCAGACGCTCCACATGATCAGAGAGCGCATTGTCTAGTTCCTTTGTAGTCCCACAGAGAGTTGAATAATATCCACAGGGAGTGCTAGGACTCCGCCTTCCTTTCCCAGCCTGTGGAGTGGTGGGAACCGGGTACTGGGCAGCCCAAAATGGCCCGCTATTTTTACCACTCTGTTCAATCAGAGGGCTGCTCCCCCGAGACCTGTTGCCGGCAGCTCTCCCAAAGCTGCGGAATTTAACCCCAGGACGGCTCCCCCCCAGATGTGATGGAAAACATCTGGCCAGTTGCTCGACTGCTAGGCTTGGCCACACAGCCCCAGAAGGCTCCAAACCATGTCCCCCGATGATGCAGATAAACAACAATCAAAGCCCGTTATTTAGTGCTGGGATGTGAGGTACATAAAAAGCAAAAAGGCTTATAAATTGAAATGCACTGAGTAATGATCTGTGTGGACAACATTTATGGGTTTAAGCTTCAAATAATTAAATGGGAAAAAAAACAGCAGCAAAAAACATTTATCATTGATCTTTATTTAATTTAAAAAGAATACTTGCAAATGTTACAATGAGTTCTACTAAAATATTTTTCTTGTTCCATCTCTGAACACAGTTCAACATCAGGCACACAAGAATGCAGACATCATTTTGCAGCTCTAACTTCTGTTCAAACACAAATCAAGGGGAAGAAGAGGGCAAGAAAGATGTTACAAGTGAAACCACACCAAAACAAGGCTCCAAGTAAATCCATTAGAACCATCAGTTTATCCCTCGTACGTGTGACATCTGATTTCCCGCACCATAAGTGGCTGTACTTGCATGCCAAAAATATTTTTCAAAAGGAAGAGCCAAGTAAAAACATTTCTAAATTTCAGTTGAAATGAAAAGTGAAGTCCGATTGCATCCCCTCGCCCCCCTCACCATTGTGTTTACTTGTATTTATTTTATGCAAGTAAACCAGTAATTTGTAAACAAGTCAAACAAAAGGAAAAAAAAAAAAGTTTTCATTAACAGTTTCTGAGCAGTTATCCAACCTGGTCTAGTGCAGGTATTTTAAATATGAATTACTTCTGCTTGACTTTGGAGAGGCCTTCCTTAGCCCTTCATCTCCCAAAAAATTATGCAAACACAATTTTATAAAATTTTATGTCTGCAATGGCCAGTAAAGCTCATCATCGTTTCCACAGGACATAGTGATATGAGGTACGACAGCATCAGTGACCTTCTTAGGCCAAATGGGTAACAGGAACAGAACCTGAACACTTGCTGTTGAGTAACAGAAAAGTAAAGGCAGTGTCTTACGCTTTAACTGCTTTAATTTTCTGCTCGTTAACTACATAATTTATCTGCCAGGAAATGTCATGCGTTTCGTTCTGAGTTTCAAAAAGGAAGATTACTGGTGACAGAATAATTACGCTTTGGATAAGCCATTCAGTGCAACAGTTTTAAAGTTCATGGAAGAGGGGTTAGCACTTTTTTAAGATTGTAGTCCAAGATGGTACAAGTCTATTTCTGTCTTGGCTTCAGCATCCACGATCAAATTTTCTCTCTCCCAGAGGCTGAAGTCAACAGCTCATCTCAGTGGTCAAAGCTAAAAGCGGTGGTAGCGGTTTTTGTGAAGCATGCTGGTATATTCACACAGGAAACCTATGCTGGAGGCGGCACGCCACCATTTATCCTCACATGTGAAAGACCGAGAATGGCACAAAGAGGTTCTGATCAGTATTTGTCAGTTACAATATTAAAGTAGTGTGAAGAGCTAAATTAGTGGTGTAGGTAAATGCTTTCCATTTCTTTTTACATTTAGGTTCATACCAAGACCAGAAGCATTTCATGCTGCATTCTCAGTATGCATTCACACAGGAATCTCACTGCTGTTGCACCACCTTCGTGACTCACTTTCTGAGCAAGTAATCCTCAGTTTTTGGGTAAATAAGGCAATGAAATGTTACAATGGTTTAACTCAGTTAGTATAGACCACTGTAAGGTTTTAGTTTGTATTGGTATGCTTTTGTCTGTGTCCCTCTGAGGATAACCAGTCGACTCAGCCTCCAGTTCCAACTAATCTGGGCTTTTATCAAATAAAGTTGCAAAGAATTTACTATAGATACAATATTAACTGCATATAGCCTCTTAACAGAACCTCTCAAATTAACATTTGGTCTGTTCCCCTTGTCATGTAAAGTGAAGGGCAAAGTGGTTCAAACACTACAATAAAGCTGTAGAAGCTAAAATATTCACACCAGTAATGCATATGAAAATAAGGAATCTAAACTGTGTGTCCATGTTATGGCTACAGCCTATAAAGCCTATGTACAGCTTATGGCACAGGAAAGTCAACTTCCAGAAACAATATTGCACACAACATTAGAACTGATTTCAATGGTCAGAATTTGAGGTGGAAAAAGTAGTTTTGGGGAAAAAGGTTGGGTCCAAAATGATCTAATGTCTCAACTCCAAGCAACCTTCAACATGAACACAGTTTACAATTACTGAATAGATGGAATAATGATTAATCAGCTTTAATAGAAAGAGGAAATGCAAGTGATCATGTGTAGTGCAATCAAAAAGAAAATATTTAATTTCATTTTTGGCATCAATATAAATAGGATCGTCACTCGCATGGTACTGTGTTTACACCTGTTTAATGGCACGTAAGAATGAATACAAAGTGTTTTACAATTATTTAGCAAATTATATCTTACTTTTACACAACTGCCCACTGTGCTGTAATCCAAGAAAATAAGAAAACAACATACAATCAATGTAGTTTTCAGGCCAGACCCTCTGGTACAAAGGGGAAAGCAAGTGGAGTATTCAGGTGTGTCAAAGAACTAAATGCGACAGACTTGTGCCCAAATCCTGCATCATAGCTCATCTCAAATTTTAAGCCATCTTTCTTACCAGCGTCAGAGCAGCTTAAAAGCAGACGAGTTTGAACCGTTGGAGATCTTCTTTAAGTTCTTTTGACATTTTCTCTGAAAACTAGCTTACCATGGAGGCAGCGACATTGCCACGGGTATACAAAAAGTCGGTTGTGCTCTGGCATCAGCTCTTTACACCAAAATTTCTGTGGCATGCAACTCTTTAGTTTGAGCTTTCTCTGCCAAAAAAAATTGTGGCCCATTATTCAGCTATAGCGGTGCCATGACAAAAAATCAGATAAAGAACACAACAAGAAGCCAAATGACAGCATGTGTTTGGGCTCAGGGTTGGCACAGGGGTGGTGATTGTCAAGTCCAGAACGTCTGAGTTGGCCGACAGGTCCTCTCCTCTTTAAGACGACGCGGGCACGGACACCTCCAGCAGGCGGTTGTTTTTGCGTTTGCATGATACGCTGTTGCCGTTCTTGGGACTACCTTGGATGAATTTTACGCACACTTTGTCCTGTTTGAACTGCACCAGAAACCTGAAACACCAGAGAAGAAGAGCAACAACTTATATCACCAAGAAGGAAGAGGCAACCCGCTGGCCTCGATATAAGTCAAAGACTCTGCATACTCGTCTGAGATGTCAATGTTGAGCTTTTCTCTGTCTGCAGCCATGGAGCCGATGCGGTGCAGTTTGGTTATGATTTCAATCAGGTGATCACTGCTGAGCAAGAAGTCACCTTTGACAGCAGAAGCTGAGCCCTGTTGGGAGCAACACAGTCTTTAAAACTATTTTTCTTCATATTTTTGAAAAAGATTTTATGGTCACACAAAAAACCTGAAAAAAAGTTGATCATCTATCGCTACATATCAAAACAACGTTCTCCTCACCTCTTTGAGTTTGAGAGCAAAGAAGCCATCAGTTTGCGTGCTCGTTGACACACTCGCAAGGTCTGTAAGAGGGACGTTGGCTTTCAGCTGCCCAGTTTTCTGATCAGCCAGAACAACGTTCTTCTTAGTCAACAGAAAGAGTCGAGATGACCCCTGCAAGCACAGAAACACTGGTGTCATCCTGCAGTCAGTCCAACATAAAATACAATATATCAGACTTTAAGACGCAACTTTTTAAATGGAAGCAGAAAAATTTTAATGAAAGCACTGGGTGAAACGCTTTACAAATGTATTCATGCCTGTTGAACTCTCACTACAATCACACCCCGACATGCATTCCATTAGGTTTTTATGCAAGATGTTCAAAAAGAAATATTTTGGAAATCAAGAAATGCAGATTGCCACAGGAGAGAGAACATAAACTGGGAAGTAGGTGCCGTGTTCTGCAGAGATCAAAATTAAGACTTAGACCGCACCCAACTCTGAACGCCACAAAAGTGACCTGTACGTACTCGACCAGGAAACAGAAATTTCCTCATTTATCTGATGTGAAGACAAAAGTTCCTTCAGGCAAACAAGAGCTGAACCCCGAGGAAGTCCTCATAGGTCTGTCCCACTGCACCTTTTATCAGAATTGTAAGCCTACCCGCTTCACATTTTCTGTCCAAACACCTCAAAAGAACAAAATGTAATTTTGTTAGTGTCAGAGATACAATGTGATGTTTAAGATCACAAAAATAGTTTGTGTCAGGGTTCAGACCTAAAGCCATTTGAAAATCTGTGGTGTGAGCTGAAAAAGAAAAGTGCTGCTCGGACTTTCCAGACTGAAACTAAACTATTTTGCAAAGAAAAATGTCCAAACGAGTTGGTAGACGTTCAAAATTGGTAGAAATGTTCCAAAACCTGGAGCTGTAGTTGCAGCAAAATATGGTTCTGGTACTGATCATCTAATGCTGAATACAAATGCACCCCACATGTCAGATATTTATTTGTAAAACGCTTTATGTTGATTGGTCACATATAACAAGTACAATGATGTCAGCTGTAGTGTTGATAATGTAAAAATACTTTACCAAAAGCACTTTTTTTTTCCTACCTTTCCATTGGCCCTGTTTATCTTGTTGACCACGTCGGCCAGCAGAATCTTTTCGTCTACGGCGCTGCTGAGTTTTTGATATTTTGGATTCTTGCTGATCTCCAGGTAGTCTCCTTTGAAAGGCTGTCTCACGCTGAGAAAAAAAGATGCAGTCAAAGACATTTGTATAATGTGAAATATAAGATGTATGAAGGCTCAATCTGGCATAAAATTAAGATCGACACCATGGGCATTGCTTTGGAGAGTAGTGAATACAAGATACCTGCTTGGGTAGAGAGCCTTTTTATCTTTAAAGAGCTCGCTTGCCTCCAGCTTCTCCTCATACACCGCCTTTTTCTCCTCTGTGAATCGGCTCCTGTATTTCTTGCACTGTTTGCATCACAAGTCAAAATAAAGAATAACTGCCAGGAAACACTAGTTTTTGTGTGCATCATCATTGTACTTTGATCTGCTGCCTACATCTTATAGAACGTAACTGAAAAACTCAGAAATGCTGACTTTATTCTGTTACACACTTGTCTGGCAGTTTTACAGTAGACAGCAATCACTCTGACAGTGTAAAGCAAGCCTGACTGAATGCGACAGACAAACCCTCCAGAGATGGAAAATCCTCCGAAGCTCAGCATGGACTCCATCCAGGAACGAGTAAGGCCTGGCAGGCCAGGTCTTGTCTATCGGGGACATGGAGGGCAGTTTGCTCTTCAATCCGAGGAAGTATTTTTGCATCTAGTAATCCAAAACGACCCAAAAAGTGTTCAGTTTCAACATTAACATGGACCCATTCACAAAACATCACATTTCTTAAGCCAGACTTACAATCCTCTGGATGGTGAAGTTATAGATCTTCTTGCCTGCGTTTGCCCTGAAGAATTTTCTGTATTCTCTGCGGACCTTTGAGAGCACAATCATAAAAACACTGAATCAATTCCAAGTTTACTCTGTTGACTCGTTATACAGTGGGACAGGAAAGCAGCACACTGAAAGAGGAGCAACAGCACAACAAAAACTGCACACACACAAAAAAAGGCGTTTTTGTTAGTTACAAACGACAAAAAAACAAAACCCAGTCTGTTGGAAATGATCCCAAATACAATAATGTCTTCAAATGAGTGAAGGGGCCATCATTGTTATGACAAAATTCATGCTTTCCTTAATGGGACAAAGCAAATTATAACAGGTGATTATCCAGGCTCCTGTTGCTTAATTAAAAAACAACATTTAAAACATGAACATCGTAAACATGGATTGTTTCACTCCAAAAAGTAAACATCACACAGACAAGAAAAAACAAAACAAAAAAAAAAAAACAGGAGACACTCCTACAGTGAAGAAGAAGCAGAACAAACGGTGTTGGAGCCACATACAAACGGTGCTGCTTTAGGGGTCAGTAATGGAAGACAGGGAAAAGTTAGATAAAATGAGTAGACTTTTGCACACTGTTGCTTTAAAAAAAACACAAACAAAAAAGGCTGAACAATTTCAGTGGGGGTTAAACTTTTACATCAGCTGTTGTAAATTACTTACATTGTGTTAAAGGACAACGCCTACAGTTGATAAGAGGGATCATAACTAAACTGTCGTTGCAAACCAAACTGATAATTCAGTTTCAGTTTTTATGCATCTGCACGACCTTGGAAGTTAAACCATTACATAATCTCACACTGAGAAATATGGAAAAATCCAACCTTCAATTCAACATTTAGTGGTGGCTCAAATACCGGCAACTGCTTAAAAACAATTTTGGAATATGTGATCAGTTTCTACAACTTTCTAAATTACAAAGAAATGATTCATGATTCCCATTTCCAAGATGGGGTTCTGGAACCAGTGGCTCTTTTGTGGCTTGAGGTGAATTTTGTTGAGCTAGACAGAAGGCAAAAACTAATGATTTGAAGAAGGTGCTGACCCCTGCTGCATCATGCAGCTTTGACTTGTTACTCAGGCCTTCTAGCCACTGACCACTAGGCTGGAAAACAAGTTTATCTTATTGAAGCAAAAAAAGTAAAACGGATCTCAAAAGCTCACTGAGAACTGCAGCAAAATGAAGCCTCCTGATGTCATGTTTCCATTTTCATTAGAAACGACCTAAATGCCAAAGAGGACTTTGGGATGCCAAGAAAAGATGGCATGTCCTTTCATAACAAAAGCAAACATGTCACATTTGATAAGTTTTGCTTATGCTTTGGTCAGATGAGAAAAAGATTGAGTTTTCAGAAAAAAAAAGAAAAAGAAAACAAAGCACCTTATTGATAGTTATTTACAGTGGAGGATCTGTGATGCTGAGGACCCATTTTTCCCCCCACAGGTCCTGGAAAACCTTTTGGAGTGCATTGCTACAAGAAATCTTTNGAATAATTGGGTATGTTAAGTTGAAATCCAACAGTCTGCTAGTTAGCTGAAAATGGGCACTTTACTTCAGTCTTCTAGCAGGAACCTTCATCCGTGGACTCATCTCATCGGCTCATGCCAATGATTACAGAAGATTCAAGGCGATCTACAGTCAAAGCGCCAGTGTCCTACATGTTTTATGACAGTGGTTTATTATGAGGCCTAAGCAGAATCTGACAACTTAATTAGGTGGCAACATGTCCATTAATTTAACTGTGGAACAGGGATACAGCTGAAACATGCAACACAGGCTGAACACACGCTGAAGTTGCACACCCCTAATCGAGAAAGACTAAAGATTGGTTAAAGAGCTCCACCTCTCTGCTCTATCCTTGCTTAATGTTATACTCTGAAAAAGGTGCTGTCCTATTAGCAAAATGGAATCATATAAAGGGTTACGAGCGACTAAAATTAAAACTTTGTTCAAACGGTTGGATTTCTCAATTTTCTTTAGTATGAGTTTGTAACCTTTCCAAGTTATTTAGACAGAAGTAATTTATTTTTGCCAAAATTACTTGGAAAAAATTGACTTGGGCAATTACTGTAGGAAGCTGACGTAATGCTTCTGCAGTTTCAAACTTTAACAGGGACGGCAATGACAATGGAAGCTGCCGTATACGCTTTCTGAACTTCGTAAAGGAAAACGGAAGATATTTGCAACAGAGAGCAGAGGCTGCCTTTCTGAGGACTAAAAGTGATGAAAAGGTTGATGGACAGTGATGGGGAGCAGATGGCACACAGGGTGATGGTTGCTACGCCGTGGGGGCTGGTGGGTACCTTCAGTCCCTGCCAGTAGGCCCAAATCACAGCGACGGCATGCTTGCGCCTGGCTTCCTCCTTCAGCCTCCTGAGCTCCCTGCGAGCCTGTTTGGGTGTGGGCGGGGGAAGAAAGAGCAGTGGAAGATGAGAGGATGAAGGGGTGAAAACCGTTCTGCTTGGAGTCGACCGCTTTCAAGACGTGCACACACACTGCACTTAAGCGCTGGCTGCAACGTTATTGCTATAATGCTGCAGCATCTACACATGAATAATAAAGTGTTTGGATGGTTATCTTGAAGAGCATCTGTGAGGTGAAAGAAGCGTTTTTAGTTGCACTGCAGGTTGATGATGCAGGAGACTCAATTCAGATGGGATGCAATCCATCCAAAAGAACCCGAGAACGGTTTCGATGCAAAGACTAAACATGCAGTAGCTACACAGAAAGAGGAAGTCATGCAGAGTGAGCAAGAAGCATGCAGTTGTCAAGGATGGACCTATGAAGATGATGCAACAAACCAAAACTAAATCTATGTATCCAGGATGTGTTGGATGTAGATTTTAAACACAGACTACCATAAAGGACTTGGTCATATTTGGAAGATCCACTTACAACCTCAGCACCTTCTGAGCCATACGACGCGTAACAAAATGCTTTACATCACTGAGAAATGCTTAGAATGACTTTTTTTTAATAAAGATGTGGGAGTGGGGTTGATGGAGGCGATAAGTCAAAAAGTCACGGCAAGTCAACATTCCCAAATACCTTGGTGCCCTGCCAGCCGGCCCAAATGACCGACACGGCATGTTTATTCCTCGCCTCCTCCTTCAGCTGACGTAGCTCTCTCCGGGCCTAATGAAAAGCGGTGGCAGTTGCAGATGAGCGTTATTGCGTTATTCAGTGACAGGCAAAACCGCAACTGTCCAAGGAGAGCAGGTGTGACAGGTAACAATGAGGAAACTGACAACATGAGTCACTCGAGGGAAACCTTAATATGTGGCGATTATGGTCGATTGAGTTAAAGTGAAATAAAAAAATAAATAAATCGATGAAACCGCTGAGGTTGAATAACAGATTAGCTATAGTGTGATAACTCTTTCCAGTAATTTACCTGTGTATTTGATGAACAAAGTTCACATTGTAAAGCAGAGCTTACATCTGGTTCAATGATTACAACCTTTAACTTACCTAGGCAATATGAACCTAAATATTTAAAGTTTCATCTATTGTGTTACATTTAATATAAAAGTAGAAGGTGATTAGATGGTACTCAGCTTTGGTCTGTACCATTCAATCTCCATTCTTGACAAATTTAGAGATCGAGACTTCAAAAGCTAAGGTCAGTGATAGTTTACAGTGGGTAATGGAATACAATTTAACAGCCTATTTTAATTTGCATTTATCTCCACCTGTTTCTGAGAAGCAGAACAGAGAAAACTTTCTGCAATAAAGACTTGAAAATCAATTTAGTGGATCTTTAACTCAACACTTTGCTCACATCTGTGCATCTATCAAAATGTGAGACATCTAAGCTCAAATATTTGGTAGCAGTACAGACAAAATAAAAATAAATCATGCATTGTTTTGCACATAATGCGACAGCAGTGTTTCTACTCAATGTCATCTCATAACAACCCAAGCTTAGTCAGAAATGAACAGAAGGTAAATGTGTGCAAATAAATCTCAACTAAAGGGTAAAAATGTGGAAGCTGTTCAATATTAACCGTCAGTATGTTCTTGTAATCCCAATTTTATTTTTTTAACAAACATTACAATACGGGTGAAATTTCCTCTTTTTGGAAATGCATTACAAGAGCTGCAGAATAAGTGTTGGATTTTTATTAGCAACTTTTAAAAAAGTAACCATGAATAATTCGCTTGAGGGAATAAGTGCTAAAGTAAATGTGGTAACCCCTGTTGTTCAAATGGCTTGAAAGTTATTTAAAAAAAATGTTATGACGAGAAATCCTTTATTCAGAATTTGGTGACCAATTTTACAGTCTCAAGTTTTTATACTGGCATCAACTTGCCAATACAGATTTCAATCTGTTCCAGTTTCTCTCAGAGATCAGCACATAAGCTGTTATACGATTATAGGAACCATTTCAAAACAATAAGGAATTGTTTTAACATCTTGCATATTCAGTTAGTGCAGGTAGCATACCCATATCCTTAAAGTACATCTTTCCTTTAACTCAGATTCCCAAAAGGCTTCCAACATTTTCAAATCCAGAAAGATAAACAGGAGGTTGAAACTCCAAAAGACTAAAACAGAAAAGCGTATTTCACACTCTAGGTGCCAGAATGAACTACAGATGTGTCCTGACATGTTGCAGAAAATAAAGCTTCCTTTCAAATGGCTTCAGATATTTCTGTGTGTCCATTGGCAGAAGCAACGATGACATTTCCTGAGTAACGGCATCAACACTAAAGAACATTAATGCAATATGTGTTGCAAGAGCACTGTGTTCCTCTGAGAAAAAAAATACTGAATTTTTATGCCTCTGACCAGCCAATAGTTTTGGACCAATCTCGCCAAGAATCTGGCAATTCCAGTGATCACCGATCAGAGATGCATTGTTGTTAGAGATGCGTTTCTTGACGCATCTCTAACAACCAGCAAGTAGATCCCAAATGATACTGTCCAATATAATAAAGTCTGATGGGATATGTTCCGTTTCTACACTCCATTCTCACTAAATAAATGAATATGCATCCATGTTCAGTCTTGAATGTTTATTCATATTAGAAACTAGTGCCTCCAATAATTTGCGTTTTATTTTACCAAAATATTAGAAACTTTTACTATATTAAGAAAAGGGAACAAGCAGGTAAATTAATATCACACAGAACCACAGTGGTGTCTCTACAGACTTGGCCTGCAATTCAGATTTTCTTTTACCTTCTAAAGAATTTGAGCATTTTATGAAAAGAAAAATACAACAAAGACCCAACACTCCCGAGTATCTTAATCAGACATGACTGGGAGTGTCTAGAAACTAAGTAGACCAACTGCTGTAGCTGAGAAAAGGCAACATTCTCACAGAGATTTGTAAGGTGATGAAGCGACACTGTGCCAAAAATCCCTCAAACCCAAATGTTTAGATAGATTATCTGGAAAAAATGAATTCTTTCTTTGAGCTTTAAAAAGCAGAATAGCATTTGAGTAAAGTAGAGTGGAAATGCTTATTAGAATAAAGTCATAAGCAAAACATGAAAGCAATAAATAGAGATTTAAAGTTTAGTTTTCTACTACAAATGTAACTAGAGTACCTGTAAAAGCACCAACATAAAAAGGCAGAGCTCATTGCCATTACATTCATTTAGCAGTAGGTCTATGGCACTATGCGCTTTTATAGTCAGAATGGGATGAGACATTGTAAACAGTGACAAGACAGCTGGGACAGCAACACTACAGCTAGGTGGAAATACCTTGGTTCCCTGCCAGTATGCCCAAATTACTGTCACAGCGTGTTTATTCCGTACTTCTTGTTTTAGACGCCTTAGCTCCATCCGAGCCTGGTGGGATGCGGTGGGCGTTAGGTAGGAACAGTTGAAGATGTGCAGAAGGATGAATCGAGAAGGGAAAGTTGAAAGGAGCAGAGGGGAAAAAGTAGATGTGCAATCATCAAAAGAAATAGCATTGCAGAGGAAAAACTGCAGCAACATAATCCAAGAAAGCTCACAGAATAGAATCTTAGAAAGACTGGTGACAAAATTGAGAAATGAAAATGTAAAAAAAAAACAAAACAAAAAAAACAAAAAAACAAAAAGGACCCTCAAGTGCTGAGCAAAAATCTTTTGGGCAAATATTAAAAAAACCACAAGAATGCGCTTTTCAATTCCTCTGTTCTTAAGAGCCTTTCCCGTACCTGTGTGCCATGCCAGAAGGCTGCAATGGTGGTCACAGCTTCTTCACATTTCTTCTGATACTTCAGCTCTCTCAGGAGCTTCCGAGCCTGGAAGAAATGCATTTCATGTTTCCTTATGATTTATTCATTACTCCAGATACAATAAAATTCACAGGAAGCCTCATACCTGCCACCCTCTGGTGTAGGACTGCACCATGGTGGTAGCATGCTTGATCTTCTGGTACTTCTTTTGTTGCTGTTGAATGGAAATAGAAACAATTTGAGTAACAAAGCTTTCAGGTATCGGTAGCCATAGCAGCAGTTTGGAAAGCAGTCTCACCGCGTATCGGCGGTACCATGATGCCACCACGACCTGGCTCTTTTTCAGCAGCAGGAAGTGGCTGCGACATTTCCAGCCCTTGTAGATTTTCTGAATGAGAGTTGCAAGGTCCTCCAGGCATTGCTTCCTCTTCTCCTCCAGGAAAAAGAGCTACATGGTGAGAAGGAAACAAAACATGCTGAACTCCACACACCATGAGGTCTGTCATCAAAAGCAGAATGTTCGCCCCGAAGAATTTTTTCTTACTTCATAAATGAAGTGTCAAAATTAATTTTCTGTTCAGGGATTCAAACTAATCCAGTTTGTTCAGATTAAAAAGACTACCTGGACTGTCTTTAAAATCTGTTTACAAAGCTATGTGATGCTGGGTGCATTTAGTGGAACCAAACTCTGGGAAATGCTTAAATTGCATTGTTTTAAAGGTTTTTTTTTATTTACTATTTTTGTTTTTCGGTCTATACATTCCTGATCTTTTACTTTCCAGGGACATTTTTTCTGCTTCCTTAAATTACAAACATGACAACAAAAGGGAACGGTGATATGAATTTGAAATATTCACATATTTAGTTGCATTAAAGACACTGACAAAACGGGAAATAAGTACTTAAAAAGTTTTTGGTACTATTAAACAGTCAAAGCCTCAAATTAAACCTACACTTTACCAAATGGGCTACTCTACTACACCAGTTAAAAGTATCAGTGAAATAGTATAATATATATAAGACTTTGAATGAAATGCAGCACCTTTTTTTCCTCTTTTAAATATTCACATTTACCATTTCTCTTATGGAACCAACCATGGAGTTTGCAAATATCAATCAGGATTGAAAGGAAGAGTTTAAAAAAAAAGAAAGAAAAAAACTGAAAAAAAAAAAGATAAAAGTGCAACAAGTGACAACATGTAAAGTGTTGCTAGGAACTATGTGCTTTAGTCCGATAAACCCAAAACAGCTTTTGGGAAACGGAACACTCCAGTGTTGAGTGGAAGAAGAATGAATGTGTGGAAAAACATCTCGATTACTGTAAGCCTGGTGGAGGGCCTGTGAATTTCTCGACATTTTTGACTGAAAATGAGTCATTGTATCTTTCAGAAAGATGATTCAAAACGCAACAAGACTGTGATAGAAGACACTAAAGCAACCTTTTATGCCCATCTCGGTGCCTGTCCTGAAAAGTAGTGACAGCAGTGGTACCACTATTTGAAAGACTGGAGATTTTGTAAGTTCTGAAGGTAAGAATTATTTACCTCACTTGAATCTATGCTAAAATGTAAAGATGTACATCTCTCCATTTCAGAATGCAACACTATCCTACAACGAAGATCTTCATGTATACCCTCCAATTCTGCAAGCGCCCCGTTTTATTCCATAATGTGAATCTCTTCTAAATTTACTCAGCATTTCCGATACCACTAATATCCAGAAACCGAGTTCAAAATCTGCTTCATTTTATATTTGACTTTAAAGCTCCAGATGTGTAGAGGGGATAAGTTTATCAGACCAAATGCAGTAACCAATTAGAGATTATGTTATTTCAAGCTCTGGGCTTTCTGCTAGTGGTGGAGAAAACCCAGTCACATGACACAGGCCTAAACAATTGAGGCCTGGAAACACAGAGCAACTTATTTCCCATGTTAGATCGTTAAGTGAAAACATGTGTTTTCAGAGTGGTGGTTACATGCTAATTGCTAAAATGGGGGGCTCCGAGCGCAGCCCACCCTGTTTTCCAAACATCTTACTGTGAGAAAACAGGTTGAGAAAACTGGATTCAACATCAAGACTCTAAAACACTTAAAGAATTAAAATCTATGAGTAAGGCAAAAGCATGTTCTGTACCGTTCTTGGGTTTCTGATAAAGATCTTTGAGCGGCAGTAAGAGAACTCTTCAGCTGGAACCTGCAGGTCAGTCATCAGCACCTCCACTCCTTGTCTAGAGAAAACGGGGGGGGGGACAAAAAAAACATCACCAGAAGTGCATAGCAGACAGCCAAGCCAACCAACAAGGACTCTTAGAACCTTCTCTCACCAGTCCTGTTTCCTGTCAGGATTTCTATAAATTTGTGGATCCCACATTAGGCTTTGAGACCTTTGCAAAACATTAACTTAACATACCAAATAGGTAATTGACACATAACTCAACCTTGTGAGCTCAGCGTTTCTACTTCAAGGTGTCTTAACTTTGATACCTTACAAAAGGGGAACCCACATTGTGCCAACCTCAAAATATCCAAGTCAATTTACAGCATTAACACACAACGTAAACATCCCAATTTAAATGCATATTGAAAACAAAGTTTGTTGGATTTCAGCCAAAAGTATTTCTATTAAAAAGTTAATACTTCAGAACAGAATGCTACTGAGCTACGAGTGGCATGCAAAATGCCTTTGAAGTGTGCTAGAATAATTCAACTTTATAAAGGTCCATCAGCACAGCACAAATATCTTTTGATTGTAATATAGATCAATGGGTTTTTGCCAAATATTAATATACCCGTTTTCAGACTTAAAATGTTTAAATATACAATTTCTCAAAGCAAAGGACTTGGTAAAAAGCGGTGCATAAACATTTAGATTTTTTTTATTTTTAATTGAGATCTTTATGAATCGCCAAATTCCAGTTTCAGCAGCAGAACTGAGAGCTTTGCAGGGAATTAAAAATACAGTATGATTGATGGCCACCACTGCTTTTCTAAAAAAAAATCAAGGTAATGAATAAAACATTCACAGTTAGGATGTAAATTAATATAAACTTAAAAATAATCTGGCTGTATTACATTCATTATCCAAAAGCGGCAAGACATACAACCCCACGCCCCGCCCCATTCCTATAGATGATTAAATCCTTACTAAGTGCCTAAAGGTGACTTAAAAAACAAGATTCGAGTGTACGGCACTGCAGATAGGAATCAGTGATTTAGCCAGCACAGTGGATGAAATGGGGAAGTCTGATGTAGGATGGAGGAGACAGATAAAGATGAAATGTCTCGACACGTTGCGGCTCAAAGGGGGAATACCGAACAATGAACATCTGGTATGTGACGTGACTACAGCTACTTTCTGTAATGCCAGGTTCATTTTTATGTAATCCATCATTAAAATTTCAAGTATTTTATTTCAGTAACGCAAACAATTAAATGACACTAGTGTATAGGTAATATTTTTAAACAAGAATCCTTCATCTTAAACTAAAAGTAGCTTCAAACTGTTAGGATCATCTAATCGTTTCATCTTTTGAACCTTATCCGAGTCTTTTCCCAGCAATCCTCCCACCTGGGAGCAGCTAAACACTTCAGCGTTGGCCACAAACATTCCCGCTGGGAGCCATCCCACATTCAGACACCTGAGAATATTTCCCAGTTGCAAGAACACATTTGAAGGGGTTTGCTTTGAAAACATTTCACTTTTCTGTCCTCATGATCTGCACCAGATTACCTGGCACGCCCCTTCCAATGCGGCCAGGTGTTTTTGCAGAGCATCTTGTAGCGCTCGAGGCAAGGCTCGTAGGCCTGACGGAAGGCGTATCCCGCTCTCCTGACACGGACGTTCTCCATCAGGCCGAGGTAGCGCGCCTGATGGCAGACCAGGGATCCGTTGAAGACGTGGGATGCTTTTTTGTCATTAGGCTTGATGCATCTGTAAATTAGACATTTATATTCAGCTTTAACCTCTCACAACAACCAGTCACTTTATTTTTTCCAGAATACACCCATGTCATTGAGAAGATTGAATGCACCGAATATAGTTTGGGTTCTTTGATTGCAGGTTGCTCATTAGTGTGCCAACAGATGCTTTGAACTGGAATCCAGCAGTTGGTGGCCGTTTAAGGTTGACTTTTGCAGGATTTCCCTCGGGGAAGAGCTGTTTGATGAGGCTGTGATTGGCCTTGTACATGGCCTGAGACAAGTCCCGGTAAAGCAAGTCGTTGTTCTTGTCAACAAAGCCTTCAACACGATACAACACCTTAATTTAAGGGGAAAAAAAGAAAACGTAAAGGTTTACTTTTTGTTATTGTGGCAAGACCGAGTTACACACCTTTAAACTTTCATTTGCAAAAAAACATTTCTTCCTTTGTGTACTGGGCCAAAAGAGGGGAAGGGTCATCAGTACCTTGCCAGCGTAGTGCTGGATGCGGAAGCAGTTGTGTGGCAGGCTGTGGTCGTTAAGGAATTTTGAATTCTTGCTCAGACGGCTTTCAAAGTGCTGGTGATCAGCGCAGATCGTGTTCAGCTTGTCCAAGAAGGTCTCGTCGGTAACTGTCCCGGGCCTCAGACACTCCTCGTCCAACATGGCCAGAATGCCGTTTTGGTTCTGACACAAAAAGAAGAGATGAAAGCATAGCTTAGAATTTGTTAAAGAATTTTATTCAAGTCTATGAACTGGAAACTACGATCTCAAGCTCTTCAACAGAGTTCTGTTGGAGTTAATATGATTGTAATTATTCAGTGCCATTTTCTTTAGTACCAGATTTGCATCATCAAAAAATAGGAAGTTAACTTACATTTTCAATGAGGTCGCAGATGACGGCATTGTTGAAATACTCAATGTTTGTCCATTCAATGCCCTGTAACAAAGTACACAAGTCAAAAATAGGTATTTCATCTTTTTGTATCAGCAGTTTGATAAAACGGATATTCAGCTGATTATGACTTTGGTACTTGTCATAAACAGGCTGCCATTTATTTGGACCTTATGAGCACTGCAATCATCGATGTAGCTGCCTACATCAATGCTTTTGACATCTGATCCATAGGTATCCAGTAATATGGTGCTTGTAGCAAATGCTGATATACAATATCACAATGTTTTTTAATCTGGTTCAAAATAATCAGGACCCTTATCTATGAGACCATTGTGAATGTGTTTAATAATGTGACATTTGAACATTTTATATTATTCTTTCTCCAACCCTCATTGATCAAAATTACAAAGAACTGATGTGCAACTGCAAATTACGAGACCACAAGGCACTAGTTTAGACTGAATGATAATTGAGTGTGTGTGTGGGATGATATAAAAAGACGAAATGTTCTTGTCTTTAAAACACTGCAAAAAACAACCAGACCTTGTATTTATGCTTCTATAGCTCCCACAACCTCATCCAAAACTTTGTAATTGCAAATTAATGCACTTTATATCAAGGTCACAATATGCCTCCAGCAGTAAGCATTTGTAAGGCCTGATGAAATGAAATAAAAACAAAATACCTAATTAACTTCAGTCCATTTATGGAAAAAAAAATAGTTAAAGTTTAAATCTTCCGTTTCATTTAAAAACAGTCCTTGGTATTTAAATGTCTTTTCTCCAACTCTTATTTCCACACAAACGGAGATCAAAGACTCTGTTAAAGCACACTTTACACATTTCCTCTTCCAAAAACAGGCAGCTCACCTATGAAACATTTTTCTGCTTTCAAGTTAACACTTATTTATGAATCAGTAAACTGTACCAATGTGAATGATTGATAGTTTTAAAAAGGTGGATTCAAAGAAGGCATGGCTACATTTATGATTGGTAGTCCTTCTCTCTTTCCCTAGTGCTGTGGTATTTTCCCATGCAATACACTGGACACAAGCCAGTGGTGGAATATCATTGGTGGTGGCGCAAGTAGGGAAGGGGGCTGTGGGGTCACCGCTGTTGCACTCAAACTCAGAGCTCTGAAAACAAACAGAGCCTAAAGGTCCACATCGGGGAGTGTTTACTCTCAACAGAGTGAGGGATCATTTCCGTCCCTGTGAGTGCACAGAATGAAAATGTTGGTGGGTCAGAGATGGGACAGAAAACAAAAGCTAGAAATGTGTTCACTTTAAGGAAAAGAATGCAAGTTGAAGTGGGGCAGTAGGAGGGGTTAAATAGTTGAGTGAAATGACCAGGTAGAAGCAGTGCTTCAGGGGCCCGCCATAATGGACTGTCAACACAACGAACCGAGTGGCAACATGTTAAGAGATGCAGATGTACGGCTGCAGGTGAAAGGAACAAAATGGATAAAGGCAGGTGTTGAAAGGTAAATTTCCCTGGAGTTTTTAAGCCTTGCATCCAACAGCTTGACACAAAACTTCGAGAAGTGAAATTCACAGCTTACCTCTCTAATGTACTCCTCCTGCTCCTCACGCAGAGTCAGCTCGATGAAAATCTGCTGCAGCTTTTCATTGCAGTAATTGATGATGAACTGCTCAAAGCTGTTGTCCTGCAGGCAGGAAAACATGAGGGATGAGAAACTTAACCTCAAGTTACTTTAACATTAAAATCTAAAAGTAGGTTAAACAAAATTTGAGGTGCCTGAATGTTCTATAATACGGTTTGAAATATCTGAAGCTTCTTCAAGCTCTGTTCAGACCACTGCACAACAGAATCCATAATATAGGATGAATTGCACTGTTTTACTCATTTTATTTCCTTGCAAGATATTGCATTAGAAGCATTCTTTTTGTGTGTCCAATTCAGTATCTTTTCCTAGCTCCTTAGAAATATCTTAAAAAAATATTCAGTCAGTATGGGGAATTTGGAAACCTCACTGGTTAGAAAAATTAAAGCTGACAATTTAGATTGTAATATTAAAATGTGTCATCTACTACACATCCAATTTGCTTGGATCAGTGAGGCAGCACATGTCTTATTGCAGACTTTAAACCTCAGCACGTAATTCAAAAAATGGTTTCAACAATCCAGAGGCTTCAGGATGTACAACTGCAATCTTATCACCATAAAACCTATGACGAAGCAAATAGTTGATCTACCTGTAATATCTCAGCAATGATTATAAATCCTTATCGAAAATTCCTGTAAGACTTTGAAGACTTCTTTAAACATTGACTTGTCAGCAATTACTGAACAGCTGTTCCCCATTACACAAAGAACTCTGGTCAATTACGACAACTAAAAAATGAGTCATGCTTCTTCTAAGATACATTATTGAACACTGGTTAATATTTTCTAAACATAAAAATGCTGTTAGTTTTAGAGCAGGTTGAGCGGCAGAACTCAAGGTGAAGGACACGTTTTATTAGTGAAGAGGAAATGGGATACATTGCAACATGTAGTTAGTTTTGAATTTTTAAGATTCATAACTTATTACATTCTCTTGAATAACCCAAAGGTCACTGTCACCCCTGAAGAAAAAAAAAAAAAAAAGCACACAGGAAAACATTGTCTCCTGGAGTGGCAGCAGATCCCAGGCTGAAATATGTAGAAGAAACCCGTTCAGAACAACTCTGACAATTTTGAGGTTTTGTAAAATGCTGTGACAAATGTCTTGAGGAAGTAACTTTGGACTAAATAGCCTCATTTCAAGAAAGAGGCATTTCATTTAATTATTGCAAAACATTTACTCATTTGTTTTGGGCAAAGTGAGTTTTATCCTTTCTGAACAATCAGAACATCAGTTCTGTATTGCTATAAGAAGGATTTGAGAGTCTATAAAGACCATCTCTACTTTTTTTAATTACTATAGAATAAATACAAACCTTTTCTTTCAGCTTAGCCTGGATTTATTAGATGCATTTGAAAAAAAAAAATACTATATTGGTCTGCTACACCAACTACATTTGTGACAAAAGATTTGTTATTTTGGTAGCACTTAGCATAATTTAGCATACAGCTAAGCATAGCCAACTGGTCTCTAATGTTAAATCTTGGCTCCCTTGTACAAGTGCCAAAAAGATTTTCTTTAACACAAAACTAGTCATTCAAATGTTTCTAAATGCAAGTCTAGATTTTATTACACTATTTATTTTGAACAGCTGCTAAATATTAGAGATTAGTCAAATTAAGCATTTAGCTATGTTAAACCAGACATTGAAGCACATAGATGACAAATATCAGAGGGAACTTTTAATGTAGATTTTGAGAGACAAATTAAAGCTAAAAGATAGGGGGAAAAAAAAACATTTTAGAGTTTATGCCTAATGAGTGCTTGTTGCACTAAAGTTCAGGTATTAAAATGGCTATGCATATGGGATTTTTCAAACGATGCAAAGGTTTCTTTTGCATCGTTTCAGCTATGTGGTACACTGTAGGCTACCGCACACCATGAGGAATTAAACAAGATGCTAAATTATGTCTAAAGGATCACAGCATGCACTCCGGCACAGCAAGCAGGCTGGCGTGGGTGTTACTTACTCCTTCCTGATGACCCAGACAAAACAACATTAAGAAGAGGGGAAGGACTTGAGAGTCAGTGAAATGAACAGGCAGTGATATTAAAACAAAATGACTTATGAAGAGCAGGCGACTAAAAATGCATTTAGCAAAAAACAAAAAAATAAAAAACTCATGTTTTACATGCACTGACATGCAGACCACGTGGAACCCCTTTGCCATGTGATACATTTAAAAGTGCATCTGTAACATGTATTTAAGTGATGAGAATTTCCCCTCCAAGTGCACTGAACAGTGTATTTACCACAAAAATTATTTCACCCAAGGGAGCAACAAAGCTGAACTAATCCAAGTGCATTTTTTATCTGCTCTCAGTTTTTGCAGATAAGATCCACACAGGTAGCAAAGCAGGCAAACGGCTTGAGGCAAAAACTCTTCTGTTTTTAGGTGGTCTGATTCTGTCGTTCTGGGCTTAAGAAATAATCAGTTGGTTTGATCTGGCACACGTCTTACCTCAAATATTTCAAAGCCGTAGATGTCCAGTACACCCATCACCTTGTGGCGGGTTTTAGCTTGTGCCTGAAAGGACACCACAACGTCAGCATTGCACAGGAACTTTAACTTCTTTTAAGAGACATTTTACTTACTTTTATGCTTTCGTTAATTCTGGTCACCAGCCAGCTAAACAGACGGCTGTAGAGATTTTTGGCCAGAGCATCTCTGGCATAGTAAGCCTGTGAAAAAGATTGTAGTAGATGGAACATTAAATATTTCTCAAATAATTTGCAGTTTTCTTGTTCTTTTAAACATCAACTTTTATGCATGTTATATTTTTCAATATTTAACCCTTTAAGCGCCAGATACAGCAAATAGTCTTTGTGGAAGATGCAAAACAAAAACATGTAGGAAGGATAGAATACAGATTGCTTAGTTTATAAAGTCATATCAAAAAGAAAAAGAATGAAAATTAAAATTTGCTCAATGCCACCTGACCAAATTTTATGCTATTTAATACAAACCTACAGACAAAAAAAATAAACAAATTTCTAGGGATACAACTTTTTATTATTATTTTTTTTAATATTAATGTCCCAGACTTATTGGTTAATTATTTATCTGTTCCACATCTTGAATTGAAACATCTATGCCAGCAGTCCCCATGTAATGTGAAAAGCCTAACCTCTGAAACATGACCTAGATTTTCATTTCCAGAAGGAACAGCGCTTATTTATTATGTAAAGGTTTTCATGTGGCATTGACATGGATCGGCGTTGGCAGCCAAAGGAAAAGCAAGTCAAGGGGAAGAAATGACCCTTTATTTTTCTGCAGACTGTGGGGGAATGAGAGAACAAAAAAAGACAGAAATAATTGTTTTAACTGGTTTAAAATGAAGTTAAGAGAAACTCTGACCTGAGCAACATTCAGAGTGGTGGAAACTTTTTCCATCTTGGCCTCAACTGTTCGGTAGCTGAAGGCCCTCTCCAGTACAGACTGCTCGGTTCCCAACAGCTCACACATCTCCTTCAAATCTACAAAGAAAAAAAAATACATTTTTCAAGTTTATTACCTCAACGATGAGAAGCTTTACATGCTATAGAAAGGATTTTGGACATCCTGAAATATAAAATAATACTAGAGGGGAAAGATGGTGCAACAAATCAGAAGTATACTTAACATGAACAATAGTGACAGAAACAAAGGACTACAGGAAGTCAGTCTATATGATGTGCTGTCTAGTTTGGAGTGCTCTCAAGACTTGACAAACTGCCAATGAACAGCTGCAACGAATCATGACGCCATGTGGAAAATATGTAAATTAAATATTTGCCTTAAGAAAACAACTGTTTGAATGATAACATGCAGGTCTTGTGACAGAAATCATAAAACATATTTGGTTAGCAGAATAACTGGGGACACTAAAGCAGCCAAAAAAGGGGCAGTAGCTTTAGAAAAGGTCATTTCTAGGTCAAAAACTAGGAATATTGTTTACAACACAGAAATTGAGGACATTTTGTAGCTAGGCTACAAGCAAATACAGGTAATTCTAGCTCCAACTGCTATGGAACACTCTAGAAACATTGTTAATTTGATTTAAAAAAAGACAAAAATAAATAAAGAAATGAAGGACGGGATCAAACTTACCATTTTTGTCTTTGATGCGACTCTCATCCATGCCATTGCAACGCGATTCTGGCTTGAATTCAATGTTGCCAAGCTTTAGAACAGCAGCTACAAGCTCCAGCACCGACTGCATTTCATCTTCCATAAAGCCAACAATCTGCATGGCATTCTGTGGATGAAGAAAAATAAATAAAGGGTTAGAGATGGCAATGATCTGGTCTATCTCTACATTGTGCCTCCCTACGTGTTCCTGCAAATATGGCTTAAAGGTCTTACACTTTTACTTCGCTCTTCAAAATAGATTCAGAAGTCTGGATTTATTTTATTTTTCCCACGTTTTGTTACCAGTCTCTCTGACGGCAATGTCGTTTTAAAAGCAGGATGTTGTCTAAACAGGTGACTTTAGGTGGCGATGCCGTGAGATAGCTAGGCAAATTTAACAGCTGATACTTTTGCTACTCAAATGGATGAGAGAAAAAGACGCAACAGTGTCCAGTAAACGCATGAAAACTACAAAGTTTAAATGTTTATTACTGTATATCAAAATCTAACAAGCCAACATTCAATATGCCATTTTAGCAGAAAAATAGTCTTCCATTTTTGATAGAAAATTATATTGTGGTATTTTTCTATTCGGGAAATGACTGGTCCTGCATAGTTCATTGGAAAAGGCTTCAAACCAGAAATACAAAATAATCAAAATTAAATCAATCCATCAATTAACTTTTGCCTGTTCATAAAATGCTTCAGTATGGATCACTCTCTCTCCCCCAGTTTTAAGGTCAATCTTTAGATTTTTTTGCATTTTTAATTCAGCAGTTACCGTAAATGGAAAGCAGTGTAGTTCCTTTAAATCTAGACTAAACCCCACCTGCTTAGAGTTGCTTTTTAACCATAATAAATGAAACACTAACCAACATTGATGCTTAATGACAGCACTTGGCAAAATGTAATGTTTCAATTGTTGATGACTTTGCATTTTTATGATGTAAAGCACTTTGAACTGCCTTGTTGCTGTAATGTTGTATACAAATAAACTTGATTGATTGATGGACATTACAGCCCCTGGATTAGATAACGAAGTGGCCATAATTAGAAAAGGAACATCACACCTCGAAGAAAACTGAACCTCATCTAAGCACACGGATGGCTGACTGGTGCAGCAGAACAGGCAAGGTACCAAACTGCAACCATCCGATAAAGCTTGAAGTCCACTACTGAAGGACCAAAAACAAAACTGCAGCCTGCTCTTGAGGTGTGATCATAACACTAAACATTTACTACAACTGGTTTTAGATCTTCCAAAATTTTATTTTCATCATGTCTAAACTGTTTTAATCCAACAACTGACAAAAACTACTTTGGTTTGAAAGTTAAAAAAAAAAAAATCCAGCAAGTCAGAAATCTAAACAGTCAAATATTACACTAAATCCTTCACAAATGATTGTCCAAGTCTGCTCCAACTCAAAAGGAGGATGTAAAGTGGCGGGGGCGATTGTTTGGAGGGAATGTCCCTTTGCGTTTCCGGCTGGTGAGGTGCAGCTGTGCCGGGAATGCTTTAAGTTAATGGGAAGCAGGATGTGAAAAGTGGAGAAACGAGGACAGCTGACCATTACAATTCAGACTGACAAGTCTTGTGGCGTGATTTAAAAAAAAAAAAAAAAAAAAAAAAAACCCTGGGGAAATGGTTTTTTGACCCACCCCCGGGGGAGGGGGGAAAAAACCCCCTTTTTCTTTT